CCCAAAACCCCAAAACCCCAAAACCCCAAAACCCCAAAACCCCAAAACCCCACATATAATTTAAATAATTATTCAAAGTGAAATATTAGATAATGGCATGGAAAATATTTTTACTTAGAATTGATCAACTGAAAATTTAAGCTCTCCTTTTGAGCCTTGATAGGACAAGAATATACCACCTTTCTTTCTTACAATATCTCGAAGGTTAAATTTGAACTGATCGTAGATCCTTACTTGCTCTTTTGTTAATATTTTAGCTTGTTTTAGCTCTGATTTTATCTCATGAGGGTAGAGGTCGTACAGAGTAATCACTCATGGCCTATTTAGACCCTCTCCTACAGGAGGTTTGACAGCTGTATCTTCATATATAGCAAGCGAAGAGTGCTTTATCTCAATGACCTCATCAAGACAGGTAAATGTATATCCCTCAGGGTTTAGTATTGATATCAAATCTGTAATTCCTTCCCAAACAATTTTTCCAAACTGATTGAAAATTTCAAACTTTTCTACTCTTTGTGCTTGCTGTTCTGACATCCGAATTATTTCATGAAAACTGGGCTTAGTTTGTAAATCTTGGACTGACAAGCCTTTCACTAAATCATAATCAACCAGCTGTTCTCCTCAAAGAGACTCTTTATCTTCTTCTAGCTTGGCTATTTGGTTATCTGGTCAAACAATCATGGTGAGAAGTCTGCCAGATGGTATATCTCACTCTGAAAGGACATATTCATTGAGTAAAATACTACTTCCATTAAGAATAGTGCAGTTGTCTGTTTTTATCCCATAGTACTTTTTGCCGAGCATTTTTACTGCTGTTTCAATGATATCTTCTACAGTTCGAGTTAGTTTAGCTCTAATGGGTGGCAAGATTTCCTTGTTTTCTTCAATATGGCATTCTATGTTTACTTCTATTCAGTTCCGAGGGAGTGAAGACTCTACACCAATATTTCGAGTAGTGGTATTATCTGGGGAGATTATACGACTATTTTGATGAAGTCTTGGCTTTTTCTGTGTGTAATATCTAATCATTTCTTCTGTTTCCTTGAGATCAGGCTCTACTAAATTATTCAGAATGCTTTACGTGATAAATCTCTATTGTTTTGCTTATTTGAGTCGATATAGCTAATTGAGCCAAAGGACTTCCTGTCTCTGAGAGTATCTCTTGGTTTTAAGAAATGTTCATCTCTCCAGTGAGGGTCTGAAATAGTTTTACTTTGCTTTTCGGGATCTACAGAACCTGTGATTGGCCTTGAGAGGTCGATAGGAGTGCTCTTAAACCCAAGCTTCATCGAAATAGGTTTGTCGATATCATTTTGGTTTGATAAAGGGAAGGTGTGTTCGTTCCTAAAAATGATCTAAGTCAAATACATTTGGCCTGTGAAACCATAATTTAAATTGTATGAAGAATCCTTTTTGATCTTTTCGAGCCCATAAGGGTTTTTCTTTGAGAGAACTTCAAGCATTTTGATGAAATCTGTATTAGAAGCTCCCCGATTGAAAGTAGTACTTGTAGATGGTTTCGTCCCAAATGGATTTTTGTTTGAAGAACCTGATCCAAATGGATTCGTTCTTGAGACATTATTAACCGTTCTTCCTGTTCCAAATGGATTTTTACTGTCTGACTTACTGAAAGGACTTGTAGTTTTTGAGCCACCAAAGGGAGACTTTGATGTGCCTGATCTACTAAAAGGATTATTTTGATGAAGATCCTCCTTGACCAAATGTGTTTTTCCTGTCTGAGGATCTTCCAAATGGAGTTTTGGAATTATTATTTGATGTAAATGGATTTCCTCCACCTCTTCCTGCAAAGCTAGTTTTAGACCTTTCAAATGGGCTTTTGCTAAATCCAGTAGCTCCTCCAGAACCCTTAGTAAAGGGATTAGCTGAACGTCCAGATCCTCTAAAAATTATCATTGTTACAATACTCAGTGAAGCTTCTTGTATTTGATCTCTCAAAGGGAGATTTAGAAGAGCTTTGAAAAGCTTGGTCTCTTCTCTGATTTTTCTGGACAAACTCATCTAAATTTATTTTATTTTTCATAATGGTTCCTGTAATCTATGAATCTAAGTTCATCAAGTCAAAAGCCGTTGAAACCTTCCATTTTAGTGATGCAGCAAAAGGTAATAGTTGCATCTTTGCTTGTATCTGAATAATCTTTTAATCTCTCATATTCTTAAGTTGATCGATGCCCCAAGTTCCTTTATCCTCAATTTCACGCTCAGCAGATCTTGATATCTCGATCTTACTATTAGGCTGGTGATAACTGCTAGAAGTTCCCATTCTATCATACCCAGTCGAGCTGGTATTATAGCTGTAAGAATATTAGATATACCTTTTGAGAATGCATTAAAGATGAAGACTAAAAACTGCCAGAATGCTTAAATTTGTGTTGGATGTGAATGTTTACCTCCTGCCATAACTGCTACCATATTTATTTGTATAATTTGTGCTCATCCCTCCTTTGAATGGTGATGCTGTTCCGCTATTTGTTCCATATCGACTTGATGAAGTAGGCGCCCTTGCAAAGCTGGATCCATAGTTTGAAGTTGACTTTTTAACAAATGGATTCTTGCTACTCCATGAGCACATTTTACTAAAAGGAGAGTTTAGCCAAACAGTCGAAGATTTATAAAGAAAAGAATAGATCTGTAAGAAACTAACCCTCATCTAAATGATTGTGTCCATGCTTACCTTTTTCTATTTTTAATTATATAGCATTCTGTGAATTCCAAATTTGGGGTTTTGGGGTTTTGGGGTTTTGGGGTTTTGGGG